AAAATTGCTACGCCAACACTGCTACGTCAACACAGCTACGCCATCACTGCTATACCAACGCTGTTACTTTAAAATTGCTCCGCCAACGCTATTACGCCAACACTGCTACTTCGACGCTACTGCTACGTCAACACTGCTACGCCAAGACAGCTACGCGAACACCGCTACGCCGACTTTACTACGCCGACCTCACTACGCCGACCTCATTACGCCGACCTCACTACGCCGACCTCACTACGCCGACCTCGCTACGCCGACCTCACTACGCCGACCCTTTTACGCCGACCCTTTTACGCTGACAGTATTTCGAGGAACCCACTACGTTGACCCCAATACATCAGTGCTTGACCCGTATACGTTGACCCAATGTAGTAATTTGACATGAGTCTAGAGACTCTCTGCCTCAACTCTATTTTTCTGAACTACTCCATGAAACCCATAACACCAACCCCACCAACTACCTGCATTGCTACACTTTTCTCTCCTATATTCTTCATGTACTTTCATATTTTTCCGGAACTTATATTTTATTGTAACAGTCGTTATTAAGACAGAAAATCGAGTGCAACAGGAATTACTTTTATTAAATAAATACATAAAGTTTCTTTATATCTCCGAATTTGTTTTATTTCCGTGATTAGGAAATGTACGTTAAAACTCATATATTTTCTTACATCATGTTATTCATTATTCTATCCATTTTTCTTGCAATATCATTTAGTATTTTATTTATTCTTACATATTTATAACTCAGTGGTAATGAATGAATCAAATGATTTGTGGAATATTATTAATTCCTTTTTATTCATGAAGTAAATCATTTTATCTTCTAACCAGACGGAAACAAGCTGACATTCCAACAATGTAGTCGGTGTATGTATGTAATGTTACCAGATTTTTTCATTTCTTTCATTTGACAAAATAGTACATTATGAAGGAAGTTGTTTATGACCTTTAATCGAATTGACCATCGCAAACTTCTCCAAAATATAAATTTGTATTTTATGCCGTTGAAAGCAAGAATGAGTGGTTTCGTTCTTTTCATTAAATTCGTTTTCCTTCGTTCAAGTCAAAACCTATCAGCTGCTTACCTATGACTGGGATTTGTATGCGAGTGCAATGATTGAATTGTTGAATATAGTTTCTTTTTGACAATCAAATTATCTTTATTCAACAAGCCATTTATTTCGCCTTGAAACCCGATGGAACCTTCTCTAACACTTCTTCTCTACAACTTTTGGTCCAGTGTAATGAGTGAATGAATGAATGATTGTTTATTTTGTTCCTTTTAAATAAAGCAAAGGATCATTATTCAACAAGACATTTCTTTTTGTATTTTAACCGTATGGAACCTAGGTATCTTTTCCAACAAAGCGATTGATATGCGAGTGTGGAATGGATGTTTCTTTCTTTTGACAAGCAAATAATATTTATTAACCCTGTGGAAGCTAGATATCTCCTTCAACAAAGCGAGTGTAAGTAATGAATGTTTGTTTTGTTTTTGACAAGCAAATGATGTTTGTTTTTTAACTGGATGGAACCTAAGTCTCTTCTCCAACAAAACGATTGATATGCAAGTGTCAGGGATGCTTTTTTTCTTTTGACAAGCAAATAATGCTTGTTTTTAACCTGAAGGAACCTAGGTATCTTTTCCAAAAAAGCGAGTGTAAGTAATGAAGGTTTTTTTTTTGACAAGCAAATAATGCTTGTTTTTTTTAACTGGATGGAACCTAGGTATCTTCTCCAACACAGCAATTGATATGAGAGTGTAACGAATGAATGTTTCTTTCTTTTGACAAGCAAATAATGTTTGTTTTTTAACTAGAAGGAACCTAGGTGTCTTCTCCAACAAAGCGAGTTTAAGTATTGAAGGATGTTTTTCTTTTGACGCAAAGGATTTTTTTAACCCGATGGAACCTAGGTATCTTCTCCAAGAAAGCGATTGCTATGCGAGTGTCAGGGATCAAGGTTTTTTTTTCTTTTGACACGCAAATAATGTTTTTTAACCCCATGGAAGCTAGGGTACGTATGTATCTAAGCTGTGAATGTAAGCTATGAAACCTAAGTATCTTCTCCAACAAAGCGAGTGTAAGTAATGAAGGTTGTTGTTTTTTTTTTGACAAGCAGATAATGTTTGTTCTTTAACCGGATGGAACCTAGGTATCTTCCCCAACAAAGCGATTGCTATGCGAGCGTAAGGAATGAAGTTTTTTTTCTCTTTTGGCCATCGAATGACGCTTGTTCTTGTGGTGTGCGCCAGGGCGGCGTCGCCGGGCGAGCGGCGCGAGTGGACGGA